ATATGTAGTTTTCCAAGGATAAGCATTTATTAAAGCAATCACAGAATGTAAAAAAAACTGCAGAAACGTGTATCGGTAGTTAGAATAAATACAAATTACTGTAGGTGTTCTCAAGGGGAAAACGTAAAGTTATCCAAATGCATTTGACATTTAAAACTAATTATTTTAATCAGTAAAGAAATGCTTATTAAAGCATCTCACAATGGTTTCTGGCTATCATGTCATTCAAGGTTTTAAAACTACTAGGTCTTATCTTACACCTCATTTTTAACCAGAGGTGATAGAAGAAAAGCAGGCAACCTGCTTTTTTTAGTGCTCTGAGTGCCAGATATGACAAAATGGATATATTTTATTCTAAAGAAAAAATCTTGTCTTTTAGGAAATTAACTGAAGGATACACAGTAAAGACAAACATCTCCAGATTTTCTTTATGTTGACTTTAGTCACCAAACAAAATTAAGAGAATAAATGGAAACTATAGAACTATTTTCTCTGCACCATTAACAAAGAGTGATTCACTGGTCCGATGTGAAAACTGACAGCAAACCACATTTTTTGATTTTTTTCTTTAAACATTGAATGATTAAATACATCAGAATAAATTGGACTTAATATAGGTTTAAAACTTAATTTTAAATGGTCTTACTCAAGAAAGATTTTTTTAAGCCTAAATTAAAAATCCAATTTATTTTTAAGTCATTGATTTTTATCCATCCTGCTGTTCCTCTTCATTAAGGGAAGAATGACTCTGATGCCTCAACAGAACAGAAACTCTGATCTTTCTCCTGGGGCTCCGTTTCTTCCTTTATAGTAATATTAAATATGAAGGGCCTACAGAATCTTAAATAAGAAAAAGAGATGTGTTTCTAGGCTGGATAGGGGAGGGATTAAACCAGGGATGTAGCCTAGGGGAGGGTTGAGATGCATAAACAGAGACACCCCAGGGCAGCTTCTGTTGCCATTACCTTCACTGGGCTGAACCAAATTAGCATCCGGTTAACACCAGCCTTGAATTTGGTCCATACCTAGAAGTCACACTCACACATGATCTTAATGCTGTGTTCCTCTTGTAAAATAGTACAATTTTTGTTAACTTAAATATATCTACAAGGTGTTTTTGATTCTATACAGATTACTGTTATCTGAGAAAGAGTCAGAATGCACCATCAGAATGAACTGACATTTGAATTAAATTCACTCATGATCATATTCACTGGAAGAATCATTCGTTGGAAGATGCACAGTTTTGTGCTCACTGTTTCAAGCTTACAAATGCTATCCATGCAGCTTTCCTTCACGCAGAATACCTACAATGAAACCAGTGCTTCTTATATTCAAAACAACAAATCTTGTGTTTTCCCATGTGAACTGCCCATTTCATGCATTTACTAATGAAACAGTATGGTCTCCAGAGCAGCAGACCACATTTTTGACCCGTTTTTATAAATCTCAAAGTTAAAGATTGGTGAGGACATTTAGCACCTGCCAAGAGAGCTTGAAACTCACAACATAGTTTCAGCAACACAAGCTGATTCAACCAACCAGTCCTGCTCCAGAACAAAATTTCTCAGAGATTCCAAAGGTGACTGCCTTAACATGAGTTAGTGATGACTTTGAGGTCTGTAGCCTCCAGAGACTGAAACTGAAAGGTCTAAACTGCTGAAAACAAAAACAAGAAGTTCTTCATCAATCTTTAAAATAGTGGGGAAAAAAATACAGATTCCCTTTTAGGGCCACCTCAGGAAGATACAATTTTTCACTTGATATTTAGCTCGATTTCATTTGTCAAAACTTTCCAGGGCATATCAAGAGAGCCTTGACATTGATGAAAATATATGTATAATTTTCATACCTACACAGCAAAACTGACTGTCAGAGATACATCGGGGAGGAAAGGAACTGCAAACTGAGAAAGGAAATTGCAATAGGAATAGTGTTCTTCAGAGAATGAAGAGAGGAGGCTACCAAAATGCAGTGCTACCTCAGCACTCAGACAGCTAAGTGCTTTCTGATGCCCACATTTGTGTTTGCCCCCCAACTTACATCTCCTCCATATTTCAACAGCTCCATTAGCTACAGGCTGCAATATTCAGAAATACATGCGTTTTTGTTTGTTTGTTTGTTTTAAAACAACCTTCATTTCTGAAAAAAAAGAAAAAACAAAACCTTCAATATCTGTTAGCTAAGATCACTGCTTTATTCTGTGCTGGCTAGACTGCAGCCTGCATTTTGGTATTCCAGTTCCCATCTATCAGAGCTCTTTCCCAAGCGAGCAGTTTCTCTGTGCAACTACCAAGAGAGCAGCAGTCTCCTGACTACCTCATCCATCCACCTTCCATTTGGTGGAAGCATATGAGAAACTGAAATAGAACTTTTTTTTAAAAGGAGCTTATGCAAAAATAGATGAAAGAAGAAATGAAAGAAGGAGAGGATAAAGACAAGAGAAAAGAAAAGTAGTGAAACAAATCTAGAGCAGTTTAAAATCATGAGGGAAGAGAGGGGGGATTTAGAAGAGTAAAAAATGCTGACATAGGATTGAAATTTATCAAATGAAGTACAAAAGGAAAAAAAGAAAAATAAGAGGGCCGTTATAGAAATATCCAAAATAAACAAGTTGGGAAAAATAAGAAAATAAAGGAGGATAATATCTTAAGATCCACACATCTCAGTTATTCTAGAATGCCAGACGGAAACCTGGAATGGCTTTCTCAAAATTGCACCGTGAACAAAAGAGGTTATGTTGATCTTTACTCATTTTTAGCCAGAAAATTCTTTTCATTTTACTAATTTAAAAAAAAAAAAAAAAAAAAAAAAAGACTGCAAATTTCCCACTTCCCACAAGCTGCAAGGATTTTCTACTTGAAAATGAAATTAAAAGTGTACTGTGGGTCCACATCCAAATATTTTAGACAGCTGTAAGAACACCACTGAATTTTCTCTGTCAAAAGAAAACAAAATTTCACAGGTTTGCTCAGAAGTTGTTCAAAGTTTATAGGGAGAGAAAGGTGTTTCTGTTATCTTCACATGGGCAATCTAAAAGCAGCTGGATGGCCACATTTGAAGTCTGGCAGAAATTAGATCCTACATGTCTGTACCATCTGCCTAGCACATTTTTGTTATCCTTCATTCAGGTAACAGCTCCTTCCTTCAGTAATTTCCATGCAGACCATTCTAAAAAGCTATTCCAGAAACTACATTAAACAAAGAAACATGTTGAGGAATTGCTGCAGTGACATCTATTAGTGTTTTTCCAGGGGAATCAGTTGGTTTGAATTTTGCGGTATTACTTCTGGGAAACATCTAGGCCAAAGCACCTCTTTATACTTGACCATTTATTCTGGCATTTCTTTCACTTAATAGGCTTTTCAGTATGCATAAAATACTAGGGATTTACCTGTGTTGTTTTCAGGATATAGACACAAGGAATGCATGGAAATAAAAATAACAGTGAGGGCTTGTAGCAAGAATGCCATAGAAATGCTCAGTCTTGTGATAAGTTCCATTTCAGGGCTGTTAGCCAGACCTCTTGTAATAAATTTAGGCTTTCATAAACAGGAAACCTCAGGAAAATTCATTTGAATGAACTGAAGTTGTGAGTTAGTGTTCCCAAGTGCCTTGACACAGACACGCACTTAAGGGTTTTACATGCCACTGTGCAGTACAGTTTGGGGATGTCCGGAATATGGCTGAGAGATACCACAACTTCTGAAGTCACCATTTTTAACAACATAATTCAAATGGAATGACTTGCACTGTTCTTAGCATTTTCAACAGTTCAGTTTCACTTTAGTTTTGCTCATTTCTAAATATTTCTATGAAGACTTGTCCTTGAGAGACCCAAAGTAATGAAGTGATAGTTTTGCTTAGTGCTGCATGGCATTAAGGAGTAAGGCTCAATTACTGTAAAAATCAAGAATTCAAGATGTGGAAGGTGGAATCCTTATCCTTTCTCTCCCCAAAATGAAGACCAGAGAAAATATCATCTGGTTTACAGCTGCATTGCAGGCACACAGATATACATCACAACTGCCACCATGGACACATGATATTTCAGGACAACATCAGTTGTATCTGTTTGTGGATCCACTGAATTTATATAAGGTTTCCTTTTCTATTCAGCCTCTACAGCTTGCCAATTTTGAATACTATTCTAGAAACCTGAATACTAGAACTGCATGCTACCATCCTGTACAACCCCCACAGCATTCTTTCATTTCCCCACTGGACTACTTATATCACACATTCAGTTGCTTCCCTACTGTGCTACCCAATCCCCCTCCATAGTGCTTGTGTTCACAATATCACTCTTAATCATCAGGCACAGATCCCTGTTACTTGACTGAAAACTTTGCATTTGGTTATATCACAGACTATTCCATTCTGGTGCCAATCCTACTTTGCAGTTCAAGTCACCTGGAAGGACAGGATTGCTCTCGGTTAGCATTCTACCATCGGCAGTGTTGTAGCAGCAATGCTACTGTGAGAAATGCTGATTAATGCCAGGCTTCAGAGGGATGTACAACATTCCTGCAAATACTGTTATTTGATGAAGAACACTTTTTGATAGCTATTGTAAGACAAATCAGTTCAGTTATTACTTAGTGTTTGCCATACCAACAAATTATAATGTTCTTATGTAATAGTCACAAGATTTACAAAAAGCCTCAATATAGTCTTTACTTGGTTAATTAACCAAACTTCATTTGCTCAAAGACTAAATTTAGGCTTGTTTGAAAAGACTGGTTTTCCACATTGATTGGCACTGATGTTACTCTTACCATTACTATTACTTTGTTAAAGAAATATTTGCCTATCAATTTTAGCAGCTTGACACAATCACTAAAAACATAAGAATTAGTTACATCAGTAATTTTTCAGGTCATGTGGGAGCCTGGTCACTTCTTAAAAGTAGTAAGAATCTTGGTAAAAATGAGAATTTATAACCACCAGAACCTCTCATCAACTTATAAACCACAATGTCTTGACAGAGTGCAACTGAATCCAAAAGAAAACCCAGAAGGAATTATTTTATTTATACAGTCTATTCCCAGCCATCTAAGCAGCCCCCATTTCTATCTTCAGTTTGCTGAGAAAGTATGGTGACTCAAACCATGCATTACATGAAGTAATTACATAACAGCATTATTGAAGTAATTACACAAAGTATTATTAAATTAAAAACTTACTTGCCTTTACTAAGATTTATCTTTATGTGAAAAGCACCCATCCTGGACCAGATTCAATCTTTACATAAACAGGCATATTTACATTCCCTTCACTAGATTACATTTGAATAGACATTTTCATTCACTTCACTGGATTTCTATGCAAGTATAAGCAAGTACAAGAGGCAGGCTACAGTATTTTATTTTTTTTCAAATATAATTTTGAAGATGTTAAGGACTGGAATTAAAATAATCATTACAGAATAAAAAGATTTTGGACTGTGCTGCAGAAACTACAGTTATGAAGCGTGGAGGCCTCAAAGATATTGAGGTCAACATTTCGTTTTCTTCTGGGGCATGCAGCTACAACCACCTGCCTCTCACAGAATGCACATGGACAGAGTTCGCTAAAACGGGGTACTATCAGCTCAAGTCCAGGAGATTGTAATCTGCTACTTTTTTTTGGGTACATGGACATTTAAGATTCAGTATCTTTTTCTTATCCATAGTACTTATAATCTCATATGAAAAAAGTCCTTCCCTAAAACTTTTTAAGAGCTGTTCTTAACTGAAGTGCCACTTGGTTGTGCTTGGTGCACAGCAAAATTTTTACTAATTCCAACAGTGAGGACAGTTCTCAGCAAGCTTTTTGTAGGGAAGGTTTTTCTTCCATTTAGTGAAACATTGTCACCTGTGAGAACCAGCATTTTCTTCTCACTCTCCATCATCCTTATAGCAAGGCAAAGGGAATTTTAGCCTTCAGAACACAAATTTACTGTGCAGAAGCTCTAGAGAAGAGAAAGACATGAAGAACAGCAAGGCTGGTGTACTAAAATTGTTTCTTGTCCATCTACACCATAGACACCAATTCCACAAGAAAAATTAATTCCCTGCATCTGGCAAAGGAAGGTGCTCTCTGAGCAATTTGGAGCAAGAAGGCCATTATAGCTTTAAGCTTATTATATAAAACATATTTTTAAAATTTATAAGTAAACATAATATGCTCTGAGAAGAGAGCACATTATTAAGTATTGGGAACAGATGGGTAAATGTCAGACCATGGCTACTTGTATTTCCTGCATTTTACAGCTGGTTTGCAAGTATGAAGCATGCAAAGCTTTAAGTCACTCAGGTCAAATGATCACAGTGAACCAAATTCTGGGCCCTTTATTTGCGTATTTATTCTGTATTTAATTCAAATGGTGTTTTATATGAAAGCTACATCTTCTTGTTCAATGTGCCTTCACTTAGGACTGATTAAGACCTCTTTAAGATAGTCCTGGAACTAAATGAAGTTTCCTGCCTCCTCCAAAGCCTTTGTCTTCTCCTGCACGTCAAGGAGAGAAGGACTGCCATAGCATTCGTAGCACAACCAAAAATCCCTGACCTTTCCCTACAGAAACTGATGGTTACAGCAGGTCCCTTCCTCTTTCCCTTCAATCTTTGATGTACCTTAGTCTCTTCAACATTTTCAGCCTCAGAAAATATGAAAGGCATCTTTATTTCTTTGGATTAAAAACAACAACAAAACCTATTTTGTTCTAGGAGCATTTTCTCCTTGTTTACGCTGTTGCAAACAGAAAACAGACCCTGCTTAAAAAACACCCCACATATCACTCCCCAAGAGCGAACTGCTGGTGTCATTACTTTTAAAACAAAAAAAGAGTAGCTAGATGCAGCCAAACACTATGAGAGTGTTCTTTTTAACCTGAAACTCTGCCTGTGGGCCATATCATCCTAAAAACCCTTTGATACAAGATAGGAACTAATGCTAGGGGCGGATCCAGAACTGCATGCAGGTACCTGCTGATTTGCCAACTCGTGGGTTTTAAAAGTCTCCTAACCTGCTCCTGGCACCTCTCGTCAGTCACTGACAGGAAGATCTGCCTCTGTGAAGGGCGATTTGCACAGCGGGGGGCGTGCAAAGCAGCTGCCGCAGGTACTGTAAAGAAAATATAAGAAGCAAATGATATAAAAAATGAAATGGAAAAAAGGAACTGGAGAGGGAGGGGAGGAATTTGCTCTTATGAAAAATGGGGCATGGAGCAAAGGGGCAGAAGAGGAGGAAGACATGAAAATGTCATAAAAATCTTAGAGCACAATGGATATATCTGGTAAAAGATATTAAATGCCATACAGCAAAAGAAGAATACTATGTTCATTGCACACAGAAGGCCATGATGGGCATCCTGCTTGGTGTTCAGGCCAGGGACTCCTGTGCTCTCAGTAAAGGGCAGAGCTCAAGCCAGAGCACACCGTACTTTAAATTCTGGTGGACTATGGTTTATCACCTGCTGCTTCTGGCACGATGGCAGCATCCTGTGCTCCACAGCCTTGTCATCTCACAGTGCTCTGGAGGACATTTCTATGGCAAGCTGAGGCACCATTTGCGTATCTGCTCTATTCTTCCCAGAGGTAGGGCAGAATCATTTAAAGGTACAAAAGGTACAAAGATTCAGTCTTGGCATTTACAGTTTGAAAATCCAAAATTCTGGCCCAGGACAGAACGCCTGCTTCAGGCACACGCAAAAGAGAATTTTTCAGTTTTAACTAGAAAGTTAAGTAAAAAACAAATTGCAAAGAACTAGAGGAAAAATTAGTTCATACAAACTCAGCATTTTAAATATAAATAAGAAACCCTACACTTTTTCTTTAATCTCTCTATTCCCAATTGTCTCCAGCAACATGCACTAACATTTTAAACTTAAGAACATATAATTTCACACAAATGCAATTGTGTTTCAGCTCTTTAAACAATCCTCCTAAATCATTACCATTAAAAGCCCCAAATCAGCTGGAAAAGACACTTCATAGCAATACAGAACGAATATTGTCCAACTCGTTCAAATTAGTCATAACTATAATTAAGAGCATACACAGGAGTGGCCATGGGAAAAAAACCAGACCTTTGAAAAGTATTTTTGGAAGTAAAATTACATATTAATCCCTACTGATAATAGAATAATGCTTCAAGTTTGTAGGTAATACTACAGATCTTTTAAACCATGAAAAACAAACCCCAGAAGCTAAGTGAAAAAATTAATAAGCTACAAGTGAAGTTCAATATTTTTCTAGGTGGTGGAAATAAAATTTCACTGATATAACATTAACATCATCAATATTTTTTTATCAAATTCTGAGTAGAACTACATCTGAGAGTCTTAGGACACCTGTAATATTTTATCTTTAAGCTCAGGGCCATAATTCTTGCTGTCACACCAGACAGTATTTCCTTTTAGTATGGGAAATGATTGTATCTTGGCTGACAGCTTTGACCACAAGTACAATGACAAAGCACGCACTTGTATGCTGCAAGAATGCAATCAGAAATAGAATATTCACCTGTTTGCACATACTTTGCAGTAAATAAGTGGCTGTAGGATACACAGAAATTGTGATAAGGGCCATGCTGAATGACTGAATAATCTGTTAGTAAGGGAAAGGGTGCTGGAGCTGAAATAGTTCATTAAAGTCAGGTTGACTGCTGAATTCTATGAAGTGCCTTAAACTTAAGCATTCAAAATTGACTAAAAAGGAAGCAAGAAATAAACCAGAGATGGAATACAATCTGTCACTTTTTTTTTTTTTGTGTGTGATGACAAATCACAATAGTGATAGGAAAATTAGCACCCTAGGAGAGAGAAAAATGGACTATGAAGTCAGCATCTCCTCCTTCCCCCACCAAAGTGCGGGGTAATTCTAAAGCAGGAATTTCAGTGCTGCCAGATACATGTTTTCATTAGGAGCAAGAGAGCACGGCTGCACGCATTTCAAACCCACTCAGACTTGTGGGTTTAAAAATGTGCCCCTGTAAGCAAGCCTTCTGCATTCCATAGAGAAGCAGGACTCTCACATTTCCAGCACCACTAGAGGTTGGAACTGACCTGGTAAATCTATTTATTGTCATAGCTATGTACCAGAAGGTACGTGGCAATTCCCTGAGCCAGCATTGTTTGGCACCTCACAGCAGTGTGAAACAACAGCTCAGGAACAAAATATGCTAAGTTATCAAAAAAAAAAACCAACAACAAAAAAAAAAACACAAGGCTGATACTGAAAGCCTCCACAAGAAGAACCTTGTCTTTGTGAAACTGAGGGAGAGAATATCTGAAACACATTTACACCCTTTCACTGATCAGTTCTTTACCCAGGTCCCAAATTAATATGTATGTAAGTGGTACAACAAAGCGATGTGGCTTGTACCACGAGACTAGAATAATATTTGCTGCAGAACAGTACTCACAGATTTCCTTTGTTGGGGAAAACACATTCTGCAGGAGCAGACCTCATCACACAAGGATTCAGCAAAAGGGGGAAAAAAAGATGTCGACCTCTTTTCAAGCCAGATCTTCAGCTGCTGCACATTGACATAGAGCCACTGATTAAATTGTTTGCAGCTCTTTCTTTGAATGAACAAAAGAAACGTTTGATGAGATTCAGGTGAGCCACCAGAACAGCACTTGCTAGCCCACAAGGTCAATTAATATTTTAATTTTTAGAAAGCAGTGTTGTGTTTTTTTTTTTTTGTTTTTTTTTGTTTGTTTGTTTTGTGTGTTTTTTTTTTTTTTTTTTTTTTTTCCTGAACTAAGAGAAAGAAAGGTCAACACAAGCCTGTTAAATTGTTGTTAATCTTTAGAATCAGACACCAACTACAAACAGTATTATTATTCCTCCATTTCTTAACTCAACAATTATGAGATATTAGAAAGTGTCTGCGCTTAGCAAAATTATAGAAATCCTATTTATCATCTTTGTGTTTCACATAAAGTTTATCTTTGGACAGAAATGTTGTGCTGACTTTTGAGCTCTGGAAAGCTGTCTTCAGAGACAGCAATTTTCACCCCAATGTCTATGTGACTTGGAGAAGATTTTCCAGATAATATGAAGCCATTTTTCTTCTATTTTGATAATTATATTAATTCCCCTGTTCATACTTCATCTATTTTAGAAAGGCAGAAGTAAGTAATCATAGTTTACAGTTTCAGTATGAATGATGATTTAGCCCAAATGTCTTTTTCCATAGTTTATCAGCACAGATTATGAAATGCAGAGCCCATTATTCTCCAGCTAAACTCACGAATTTTAGTTTTATACTCTACTATATTCTACTACTTGGTTATGAATTAATATTACTGCACGAGCAAGACCAAGGCACATTTCTATAACACTCCTTTTTTTTTTTTTTTTAAACTGGCATATCAACTTAAGTTGCTTTTAAGAAAGCAATACCTTCTTAAAAGATATTTTGCATTAGGGTTTCACTACTGGTCAGCATCTTGCTAGATGGTGACATTATGGAGATCATTGTGTCACATTTCGTGCCATCACTAAATTTATGTCTGCTTCCTGTCTTCTTCCAGGCACTTGTATTTAGATTATGTGTCAAATCCTGGCTCTCTTAATCAATGGCAAAATTCCAATCAACTTCAACAGGATCTGGATTTCTCCCTGTTAACACTGGAATCAAGTCCCCTGATTTCATTCCAGGCTACAAAATGCTTGTAATGCAGTAGTTGTCTGCTAATTAATGAATGTATGACAAAGTTGAATGTCTCTGGAACAAGGCTCCTATAGCCTTCGTCCTTAATGCCACCCTTAATGTTTTGGCTAACTGGTACAGTATTTTAACCACTGCTACTTTCAGCTCACCTAACTCAAGTACTTCCCATGGATAGCTCATGAGTTTATTCATGCTTTAAAGTTAAAGTTAACTTTAAGTGATGAAATGCCAGGTCCACACTTTCTATATAGCTTTTTCATTAGATGGTATTTGATAGCTTTCTGCTGAATCAATCTAGAATACTGTTGCCACAAATAACTTCTACTATAAATGAATAGAAATCAATAAAATAACAAGAGGAGAAACCTTTGTGTGATAATTTATCATTCAACTGCTACAAGATGTTAAAAAAAAAAAAAAAAAAAAAAAGTTAAATAGGCCTGAACAGCCACTTGAAAAATAGATCAGCATGAAGGCAGACACAAGGCACAGGGAGGCAGAATAAACACAGGAAGCTACTCGGAGAGGGAAGACCCCCTACCAAGTTTCAATAACCGTGTGCAAGTCCAACTCAAGATTACAAATGGTGTCACAGACTGTGAAGGGCCCAGTTCTTTTGTGTACAAAAATCCATGGCCATGGAGAACCACATTTCTTTCACAGGCCTTTTGAGAAACATGGCTCCGAGGCATCTCATTTGAACCAAGCAGACAGGAAGCATAAGTTCTGTCTGCTGCCACACTGCATGGAAGAGAGAGATATCATCATTTACGACTCCTGCTCTCATCTTTCTGTACTTATAAAGCTCACATTTAAAATCACAAAGATTACAATGGGTATTTGTAAGAAATTCTTCCTTTGTGTTAGTCCTTATAGATTAAAAGTTCTTTCCAGGAGGTGCTGTTTATTTTTAATGGTCTGTCCAGAGCCCATAACACCAGGGCTCTAAGAACTTCAAGGCTTCTGCTCCTGCTAACCAAATAGATGTACAGCAGCTGAATTGCATGAATGTGATTTTAGCCAAAAATCTGAGGGTGCCTGCTGAAAAAGTAGAAGTATGGCTGATTTTGCTGTTTCTTTTGCCAGGTAAAAACATGAGGACATACATAGTAAAAAGAGAACATTTTTTGAAGAATGCTCTTGTGCAGAGCTGAATTGTCCAAAGCATCAGTAAAGCTGATGCAGTGACTTCATTCAAAATGCAGTACTGTAGAGAAATCATAATGGGATTAATTTCTCTGTCCCAAATCTCTGTCCACGTAGGGCTCTCCTGAGTGTTTGCATGATTATTTCTTCTTCCAAAAGCACACGTTCACCAGGGCACAGGCTGCACTGAACACACTGCTGTCCAAACTAGAAACTAGACATGTAGGTCTGCTTTCAGAAAACCTCCCATCTGTTTTGAGGCTTTTAAACTCTTCTCTTTTTGAAAGAAATGAACTCTGAAAACAGAGAAAGAGACTGAAACACAACAGGTACCCTCAGGGCTTCACTGTGGCACTCTTCAACAGTGGAATGCCAATCACCACAACAGTGCAAAGCAAGCAAAAACTTGACACTCATATAATATCATTTGGTCTTCCTTTGTATCGCTGACCACAGAAAAGAATGGAAAGGATTTGCTGGATCTTTCCCTACTATTCAATACTGTTCTGGATGTGAAAAAAAAAAAAAAAAAAAAAAAAAAACACAAAAAAACAAAACAAAACAAAAAAACAATCTGGCCCTGATTTTTAAAGACATTCCAAAAAGCAGAGAGATGTCTGTACAGAACAATAGCAAATTTCTTTGACTTAGTGTTACCATATCCAGATAGTTCATTACTAGTCATATAATATTTTATTTAGTTTCTGTTCCTTGCTTATCTGTCTCTGGTTTCAATTAAAAAAATAAAAAATAAAATAAAATAAAGGAAAACTGTTAACTTATATGCCTCCTGCTTTCAAGGCGGTACATAAACTCCAGAAGTAAGTAATGGGAAATCTAATATGAATTCTCTACATCTCCTGATTTTAAACCTCATGATTTCTGTGTCCTACCAATTTTTGAATGCTCAGGCTTATTGAAACTTTACATTCACTCAGAGACTTTTGGTGTCATATACAAAAGTAATTATATGCTATGACTTATGACTGACTGTAGGACACCTGTTCAAGTGTCATGTGTAGTATACCAATAGTGATGCAAGACAAAAATGATATTCATGTACTTCATTGCATACAACAAGCAAGATAGACATTTTAAAAAATTTATAACCAACTTTTCAGTTTGGTTGTAAGTTTGCATCTGAGCAGAGAACACTAATGCTATTACAGAAAATTCATTTATTGTATAAATTCTTTAGCTGGAGAAAAACTGCACCTGAAAATGTCAGCATCTGTAAATAACTGCAACATTTGCCCATCTAGAAAGTTTAATGTTGAGACATGACACACATTATGTTTGTAAGATTTTTATTGTAGTTGGTAGTAAAAGAAAGGAATAAAGTCTTTATATCTTCTCTCATACTTCGGGAAATAGTCCTGAAGAATGTAGACTTCCGCAGGACACCATACAGTTCTGAATTTAACATGGTGTATTTGTGATACACTTCTTAAAAGAGAGACTTGCCTTCATTGTTGCCTAAGTTAAGAAGACAAAGCAAGATCAATAAACATTTGGGGCATTTTGCCTCTGTGAGAATCATTCTGTGTAACTGAGGAAGAATAAATGCCCCAAATATAGATGAATCCATTTTCAGTTTCTTTTCTGATGAAAAATAAGGTAAAAATAAGCTGTATTTTTCAGACTGCCAGGAAATACCTTGCAGATATCATGATTAGTTCCACCTGTGTACACAGATTATTTACTTATTTTTAATTAATTTATTTATTTATCAACACCCGTAGCTGAAAGACTTGAAACTGCTGCTACAGACTTTGCAGACTTTTGTCCAAACTGCTCAGTAACATTCTCAAGTCTAATATGCTGGGGAATATCCACAGATCAGAATAACCTGAACGAAGAATTATGTTACTTAGAATATATTTCACAGAAAGCATTTAGACCATTTGTTAAGCCTCCTGTTTTTGTATGTGACAAGTCCAAGATATGTCAAGGTACACCAGTAAGGGGTTAAAACGTCTGTGAGTGTTTTGCATGGCAGAGTAAGGAGATGTTTGTTCAGTAAATTCTGAAATGCTTCAAGACTGTCTCAAACTCTACCCTTAGGATGAAAAAAAAAAAAAGAAAAAAAAAAAAAGGAGAAAAAAAGAAATTGAGAGTTATTTTTAGTTAGAACAACATAACAAATATGTCTTCATTGCTCCCTCCTTACTGGTAGGCTTGGAAAGATGATGAGGCAATAAATTCAGCATTAACCTCAGCTGCATCTGTCCCTACCAACTGCAAAAGCTTTGTCTGTATTAGCCCATATAAGATTAATACATAGGGTCAGATTATCACATCTTCATGAGCAACACTGCCAAAATAACAGGACATTATGTGGAGCATGGACTAATACTCTGTGTAAGAGAAAATGCACCTCACTTTTTCAAAGTGGTGGGAATTAAGGGTTTGTGGAAAATAGACCTTTAATCTCTCAGTGCTAGTATGCCAGACTGCGCACATGCTAAACTTCAGGGAACATTCATCAGCTGCTCACCAGTTTTCCTGCATCAGGAGCTCTTCCAGTTTTTATGCCCTTCTCAGTTCATAGACTGTTCTCAGGTTGCTGTTCTAAGTTTTCCCAGATCTGCTGCTGATCACTAAGCTATGCAACAAGATGTTCCTTTGCAATTTTAGTTACTTTGGCTTTTTCATAAATGAAGAGGTCATGAACTGCTCTAGAATGTGTGTGCCATGTCAGCTATTACTTCCCAGTCCTCTGAGGAACAGATAAAGCATTCACTCAGGATTCTCAACAATTCCTACTCTTTTCACAGTATTGACTATTTGTGACCCGTTTCCTTTCATTTTCTAAATCCTGCTACAGGAATTTGAGCAGTGTGCTGATCCAAGAACAGGAAATACAGACAAAACTTTCGGATGCTGGCCCCCAGCTCTACAGCTAACACTGAAACTTTGTAGGTACATACTTTCAAATATGGTTCCCATGGATAAAATGAAGTGTAGATGTTTTTCCACCTTACTTAAACAGTCTACAAAGTGTATTCAATAATATGAACGAAGTTAATGCAGGATTCTTTGGAGGATTACTTAAATTCTAAGACCACTGAGGACCTCAGAGAACAGGCACAAGTTGAGTCCAAAGCATTTGCAGAAATCTCAGTGAATTTCATTACTGGTAAAACCTCAGACCAGACAGAGATTATCTTACTTGGCTTTCAGCATCCAGCCATTAGAGGTAAATGGTGATAACACTGTTCTGACTGAGCTTTTGTCTTGTAGAAAGGGTACTTAACAGCACACAGTGTATCAAGCCTCACATAAATAAATGGTGTGATTCATTTAAATCAGAAGTATTGCCACAAGCATCACGATGTGTAATTAATATCTTCTGGTATGCTTCATCTCATAATAGTTTTTATTCAACAGAAAGGATCATTAGAAGTTGTATCATTCTGAAGAGAACACTGCAACACAAATTCCTTCTGCTAAAATCTAGTTTAAGGATTTTCTACTGTAAGAAAATGAGGTATAATATACTCATTACAATCCCTTAAAATATGTTAATGAATGGTGATATTTATCTCAGTATGGCAAATACATCTTAAAAGGTTTTACTGAGAGACAGCTTTCTGAAGCTGGCACATGATGAGCCAGTGGTCACATTTCTTCACTTTTGACACCACTATCACACCCTACCACGGTCTGCCAAGTAGTATCCCCATCTGCATTAGTGTAAAACTGCAGAATACAATTAAATTATCTGTCATCACATCAATGCACACACACAGATTCTCAGGTATCCTGTGTAAAACTATTTCCCTGGATATAGTGAAGGAAAATATATAGCTTTTTCTACACAAGCTGTAATATTAACATCTGAGGAAGTCAGTGCCAATTGAAATCAATGGAAATGGGATTTACCGCCAAGGATTTTTCTAGTGGGAAGAACTTGAGCTGCCTGTCTGGGGTTTTCTGAGTTTGCTACGACACTAGGTGGCAGTAGTTGTTTTAGAAGTTTTTCTTTCTTTCTTTATTAATTTTGATCCCTAAATAGAAGTGAGATAGCACACACAATAAAATTAGTGCTGATTCCACTGCCAGTTGATGAGGTGGGGAAATTTGTAGAGACTCGATACCAAAACAACATATAGCTTGAGAACCAAGACGAAGTTGAATCCAAAAAGAGAGTGATGGCCAGTCCCAAGTTCTTGTTAAGAAACCTCTGGGAAGGACAACAAAAACCTGCTAAGAGTCATACAGTCTGTCATGGGAAGGTTTCTTCTAAGGCATTCCCAGAACTAGACCTGTCATTTCTTTCCCTTTCACGGTCAGTTACTACCTTATCAAGAGATTACAGGCTCTTTTATCACATGTGGGAATAATACTGGAAGTTTTTTTTTTTTTTTTAAATATTTATTTCATATTTGGAGATATGTTATCTTAAGACATGAAGAAGTATGTACATTAATACTGAACTGAAAGTCTACTTTCTACATTGCATACGATGGGATATTTCTAAATTAACTTTCAGAAAAAGGAATATGATGTATTCCCATCACATCATTTATCTACTAAATAAATAATAAAACAATTATTTATCCTTTAGAAATTTTAGCCCACCAAATGCTTCCAGTATTAAGCAAAATTGATTCAAATAGCACTACCTCATGAAACACTGCACAAATATTTTCAAAATTCCTACACTTTGATTATGTAAAACCAAAACTTAAAAACATGCCAGTCAGGTCTAAAAACTCAGGAGTATTCTAAAAATATAATACATTTCATTTTATATTGTGCCTGGTACATTCCAATCCTATAAAAGTATATATAGTCAAGTTTTTCTCCATATCTATTTTTATAAAATGGGGTGCTTAATTTTTAATGAAAACTCAGATTTTCACCTAATCATTTGAGTCAAAGAACTGAAGTATTAACAAAATGTTGTGAGGTTGGCCTTTAATTTGCTAGAGTTGGCAGTGCTGCATTGCAGGAACTGCACAGACCATGGGCATCAGCTGGGACACAACAACACTATAGCCTTTCTGTGCACCAAAAGAAGCAAGTAATGGCTAGGTCAGCAAAGGGGGATTTAACAATGACATTATACATGTTGAAATCTGATCAAGAGGTCCCTACCTTTAGAAAAAGTACAGAGATCATCATATTCAAAAGCATAGCACACCTTCACCAGCTGAGTTCCGACTGGGGTCATACTGGGATGTTGGCTGAGAGCAAGTACTAGCTTAGAACTAAGGTCTTTCTTAAAGACTCTTTGAACACTTACTCTAAATAATGAAAGCATCTGTAGTCACAGCATAAAATGTCCTGGCTAAAATGGGGGTACATGTCTCTGGAAGATTTCACTTTTGAAACCTTTTCCATGTCCTGGGAGAAGTGAGCAGTTAGGACAGTGCTGAGGATCACATCATCTCTGTGGAGAACAACAGCACTACTGGATTTCTAGTAAATGTGGAATTTCTGGCCAGAGTTCATACAGCATTTTCATTTCTCTGATCCCAATGTTATTTGCCATCAGACCAGATATTTGAACTAATCTATCCTAATCTAGTTCTTGCATTCTTCTGTTTTCAAAGAAAATGCACATTGATTTTTTTTTGTCTTCAGACTGACAATGACACTGTGCAGACTAATAGTGATACAGTTATGAACTCCAGCTGTCTTTGGTAAGGAAAAGCCATTAACATTGGCTTTCCCTTTATCCTTTTCTTTTATATCTATTTGCTTGTTAGCTGAACTTTCTATGTACCTCTTGAAACCCACTGTAATAATTCATACTGATTGCAAAAGACATACTAGAAGAAAAGGCTGCAAAGCCACTTATTTGTAGTTATCTCAGTTGTTGATCTTAGCCAATAAACTGCTGACTGATCACTGCAAATGTTTCTGCTTATAGAAGATATGCAATGGGCTGATACTTAACTCACTTTAGCTTCTGTTGCGGCCAGTCTTTTAGTGCAATAGCTAAAATGGTGCACAATTCCCCAGCTCAGACAGGCCACAGCACAAGTGATGCACCATGTCTCAGAAGTGGAGTGGTGCCTGGGTTGTTCTGAAACACTCCCTGATGGAGCACCTAGCACATGTCATTGGTATCACCTCTGAAGCACTTGGTAACTACTCCTCTAGCTGTTGCGGCTGCAGATGGTAAGGGGAAATACATAGCTACACCTCTAGGCTTTGTCCATCCTAGCTAGCGTATGTTAAAGGAGATGGTGAAAGGGGGAGAAAGTGACAAGAGTGTGTATGTACGTGGGACAGAAATGCTTAGCTTAGGGGCTACTCCAATTTCTGTTGACAACACTGTTCTTTCTAAGATAGTACCCTGGGCTTTCCCATTTCTTTTTTACCTTTAAAGTGCTCATTGTGATGTCCTTCCTCGATCAGGATGACAATGCATGCTGTGTGTCTTGTGCTCCAAGGGTTCAGCTGCCAGCCATGGATCGAAGCTCTTCCTGTCATTTCCCAAACAGCCCTGTGGTGAGTACAGCATGCTGCAGGACAGGTTCTGTACTCATCTGCAAGATCACAACACAAAACATTTGAGAATGCTGAGTAAGCAGAATTTGGATGTTAAAAACATTTCATCTATGCTTCTCCCTCATCTCTTGACAAGTACTACTAGCTACCTACAGTCACTATTCTCTCCTAAGCCCAAATGGGAATTTTGTCCTTCATATAACCTCAGTTTTGAGCTGCCTGTCCCAGCACAAAGCTAAGCCAGTCTGTGTAAAGATACCCTCCCCATAGCCCTCACACACTGTGAAGAAGACAAGTAAATACAACATGCAGCGGAGTTCACAGTCATACAGATCAATACTGTCATTGCTTCCCTTTATTCCCTGCCTGTCCCCATCCATCTGCTTTCTCTTGTCTTAGAAATGGCAGCTTTTGACAAATGGACTGGCTTTTTCTTCTTTCTTTGAATTAGATCTGGGGTTACTAGCCCACAATTAGAGCTCCTACACACTACGGTACCCCAGGTGACAAGCAGCAGCCTAGAGAAGCACAGACAGGTATGCACACCGAACGCCTGCCTGGTACAGGTACGTGGCACTGGTGGTTGTGCAGAGGCCCCTGCAAGGCCTACGCAGCACTGCAGCTTCATCTAACAAGATAAGGATGCAAGCAGAATGCAAGAAATGCAAGTCTACAGCAAAGGGATAAATTTGGACACGTGGAGAATGTTTAATATAAATAAAACAAACTACATGAATCAAATATTTAGTTTTTGAAATGCTAGCTGTTCCAGAAGTAAAAAATCTAAACCATTATCCCTGAGATAAGCATCACGAACTATATTTATATTTCCCCCTAGGTTTTATTTTGTGTTCATTAATATATACAACATTTTCATTTTCAAAAATACTTCGTGTACCACATACTCTCTCTGTGTACTTTTATGGAGTTGCTATTAGAGTTGGATGAAATTGCATTTGCATTCAAGACAGAACTCAACTCACTATAATCATGCCTAATTTGTTGGAGCACTGAGTATTTAAATCTGATTATTATGATGTTTACGGCTTCCACAACCCCCAAATTGCATAATAATTGTCATGTCATGCAATTTATAGCTACGCAGACTCTGCATGAAGACTGACAGGACCATTGTGTATATTATTAGTGGAACATTTGTGAATCTGAAGATTATAAGGAATCCAAAAGAAAGCTGAGGAGCAGATTCTTAGTAGCATGCATATTGTGTAGCTTAAAGTAAACTCACTACATTGCACTACTGAAAATGTGCAGTCTCTTCTGCCATTTGAGCTCCTGGAGGAAGGCTTCAGCTGATGTGTTCAGAGGTTCATGTGGTCAGTAGCCCCAGAGGAAATAAAGACTGAGGAAAGTTGAAATGTTCTGCAAATACGCTTTCTTCAAATATTAGGCATATTTACTTCCTCGAATTTATTCCTGATATCAAGCAAAACAAATGGATTGTTACGTACCCACTAAAGAAAGAAGCTACCAAGTAATTGGGCAGGAACTTCCATGCTGCTTGAGTCTTAGCTCTGCTTCCTCCGTAAAGCAGCTCTGTGTGAAATTCAGTGGCTGAATAGCAGTCCTGTAAGCAAAGACATGACACTGAAAGAAATGCACCTTGATGATTTTATAGCACTTAGCACAGTGTGGTAATGCTTCATGAGTAAGTTTGTAGGTGCCACTAAAAAATCACCAAGAATAGTACTTTCTCATTAAGAGGGGGAAGGGAAAACAAAAGGTGAGATAATGATGTTTTCTTTCTCCAGACTCTAATTCTCACCATTAGAAAATGCAGAGTTGCTAGAACTGCGGTGGTGATGCCACTGCTAAAATTCTCTTTGAGAAAGCTGTGAGAAACGCTCCATTTTCCAGTTCTCAAACACAGATGCCCTCCACAGTGCAAGAGCTGCCACTCACTTCCCGGCCAGTGGTAACTCCATGTTCTACTCTTTTAACTGAGTAATGGCAAATTAGTGGGGAAGAAAAATGAAGGCACTGTACTGATCAAAGAGGATTTTTTGCAAAAAGGCATGTGTGGTTGGTTATTAACTGAAACACAATGTCAGTGGTTCTTTTTAAACAGGAAGCGGATTCTTTTGTTGCTTATGGAAAGGCTGGCGGAAATTTGCACAGCCTTTGAAAAGTGTCATTTTGGAACATCGGCTTTGTGGGATCGCAAGCACGCCGCCGGCAGGGAGATGGGGCAGTGGCAGAAGGACTTCCCTGTGGCTTGTAAGGAAATCGACTACGAGTAAACCCCTGGACGGAGACAGGTTCTGCAGTACCTACGTGATGTGGCAACCACGTGGGCTGATGAGCCAAAAAACAGGTGGTCGGCAGCAACTGCCAAATCACCATCTTGACCTCATCAATAGCCAATAAAGAAATAGAGCAGAAACAAGTTACAGATGGCAAACAACTAAATAAAAAGACATTATGCTGCCAAGAGGAGCTCTTCTGAGAAGTAAATTGGCCCTAATACCAGCAATTCTAACTAAAAAAAAGAAATGAAATGGTTTGCCTAATTTACTCTGTGTTCAGAGCAGGAGTATGATTCCTATGGCCTACCATTCAAGAGAGAAATAGTTTAAAGTGCTTAGGTGGTCAATGGTTATCAACAAGACAAATATTATTAGTAAAGATGTAATGATATTTTCCCTTCTAGAAAACACAGCCAGGAAGCCAACAAAAAAAAAATAAAAAATAAAAAAAAAATCCTGGTGATTAGTTTATTCTAAAACAAAATGGAGAGTGGTTGAAACAAATTAAAAATCAGTTAAAAATTACTATAACAATCGAAAATGCAGGAAAGTCAAATTATTGCAGATGTTTTTAGAATTGAAATAATTCAAGTTGAAACATGCCTGCCAAAGATTCAAAATGTAAAATAACCTGTGGGACTGAGCAGCATTGGGATATATTACAGGAAAAATGTGCAAGATAAATGAAGCACAACAGCTAAAGTATCCAAAGCTCTTGCGAGTTGTGTTAAATAATCAGCATGGATGTGGTGGACAGTGATTGAGGAAGCTTAGAAGTTCCCAAAGAGAAGGATAAAACATTAGGTTAATAACAGCCATGTACAAAATGACAGAGATTAACCACGCAGTTGTGATTACTTTTGCAAGTGAGAAAAGAAAGATGGGAGCTAACAAAGAAGGTGGCAACCATAGAGTTATGATCATGTTGCCTTGCTAGAATTTATTCGTCGAGTTGCTCTTTCTAAAACAGCAATCCAGGCAGAAAGGGGGTGGAGAATTGTAGGATTTTGTGCATCCACAAAGCCTTAGGGTAGCTATATTGAACAGCAAATGGGAGCAATGTCCAATGGTATTCCCAGGTGCTAAGCCACAAATGCCAGCTCTGGGAAAGCATGCTTAAATCTAAACTCAATTCTAGCTACAATGCACAAGATAACAGATATTCAGAATTGCTTCATGCACAGAAAAGGAGATGGTGAAAATTGGCCTGACCAGGCTCCATCCAGGCAGGTGCTGTGCAAGCACACACTGCTAACAAGGAACAGCCACACGGTGGGTGTCGGTGAGAGCTGCCACCACGGCACCACTGCAGCTCTCCCTCGGCGCTCAGTGATGCTGTGACAAACCTACAGCACTCCCAAACTGAGCTCAGCCACCGCAGGAGGCCGTTGCTGCGTGAAGCCACCCCGCAGCCACCAGAGGCCAGGTTGTGAGCAATGCCGCTGGCCTGCCTGGGCTCAGGCTGACCTGATGCCGTGCGGGTGGACTTCGTGACCAATAGCTGCTCAAACACACACCAACAGCTCCCTGCAGCATGGCATCTCTGGTTCCAGGATGCCTCTCTCTGTCAAACACTCCCGTGCTCAAAAGTTGTCTGGTTTTCTTTTGAAAACAGGTAACTATTTATTTAAGGCTATTATTAAACTTCAAGTTTCAGCAAACATTTAAGACACAGTATGCTGTAGAAGTTCATATAAACTGCACCTGTAAGTGACATCTTTGCAATAGTCTCGTACATAGGAGGCTCAAAGCTATTTCTTGCCAGCAGCAGTGATCCACAGACTTAGATGTTGTTAAAAAGCTTACAATATCAGCAGGGCAACTGCTGCCTCCATTAGAAACATGATACTAAGATGCTGATTAATACCAGGAGGGGGCTTTAATCAGCCAAAGCCATATGCTATTTAACTTAAGATGAAAGTACAAATGATAATCATTATTTCAGAAAGGATGTATTTAAAAGAAGAGCAGAACAGCAAGTGGCATCTTTTTATCATTAGAGCTTCTTCATGCAGCCCCCTTTTTTCTAATGCTTTATAAGCTTTTATGAACATCTGGATCATTTCTTCATTATATAGGCTTCCAATATCATTATGTTTGATGTAGCATTTTTAGTGGAGCTATGCTAAACTTCTAAATATACAATTAATTCCTATTAATTATAGTTTTCAAACTGGTGAAATTATCCATCATTAACTTAATCACTTGTATTTTATCTTAAAATTGTATTCACTCTTTTATAATCCCTACATCTAAAGCCATTTCTTCCCTAGGCTTTGTGTGATGTTTTGCATGCTGTTTGTATAAAGGTTTGCCAGCCATTTTCAACTGCTTGTAGAGCTGAAGCTGTCAGCAGCAGACCATTTTAAAATAGAACCTAATACAGCTTAGTTGTTTTACCAAGGAGTGCTTCAGAGAGAAGGGGGGAAAAAAGAATTGAATTGGGATCTGTAAAGGGCAAGACTTCATTAGATCTGATGAAACTTTAGTGCTATGTTCCCTACATCAATGGGAGGAGGAGGGGAAACCTTAAAAAGGGGAGAGTAAGGTAAGGGAGCTATTCACTATCTTCCACTCCATGTGGCAATAATTCAGCATGAATAGAGTTGAATGATTTGGAAGTCTGCATCCACTGTACATGAAGAATTAAGAGCATCTCTAATACCAAGCTACAACACATCTAAAGAAGAAAAAAAAAAAAAAAAAAAAGGAAACTTTTCCAAGCTTTTTTCTGAACACTCTGGCCTCACTTTAGGTTTATTCTGTGGCTTAACCTGGAACTTAAATTATAACACCTTCACTGAATGCCTCCCCCAGCCTCCAAGCCCGGAGTTGGATCTGTTTCCTTTTCTTTGATACGACATTTGCAAAATAAAAAGAGAAGCAATCAGAGGGTTAAAAGCACCAGAGCTGACCTGCTTGGTTCTTGTCAGCCTGCTTTCAGACACTGGAAATCAGAAATGGTGCAGGGAGCCAGAACTGCTGTTAGCACTGATGAGACATAAGTATCAACTTTGTGGGATGTGGTGTATCCACTATGCGATAATCCAGTTGTTATCATTGTCAGATTTTTAGTTCTCAGCACTCCTCCTCATTGCAGAAATACCTGGAGTGGGTGGTCAGGCTTAGCTATTGTTTTCACTCCAGTCAAGGTCTACTTAAGCCTCTTTAATCTTCTCAGATTGCTCCAGGGCTCTCCCCACCCTGAGCCAATGGCCCTCCACAGAGCAACAGAGCAGGGTAAATTGGAGTTGGGTTTGTGCCGATACAGCATGGAATCCCTGCAGTACTGCTCTCCATCCTGCTAACCCCGAGTTCCCAGGCAGCACCTTTCTGGTGAGACCCAAGGCCCACAGAAAGCTGTCCAGCTTCTGCACTTGTACCCAGTCACAGCCCAGAGCGCACCACTGGTGCCTGGTTTGTACACACCCTGAGCAATGAAACCTCTGTGAAAGACAATTTTCACCAAAGTCTGAGCAGGTATTTTCTAATTCCATCATGCTTCTCCTCTCTTGCAACTTTTTCTCTGCTGGACCTGAAGGAACTTAAATGACATTCACATACATCTTATTTTCACAAGGAATGTGGTATCATCCTGGTTTTGTCATACAGGATGAAAGAGCACCTCCTCTGCTTGAATTTACCAGAGAACTGTTAAACACATCAAGAGCATGAAGACCTCTGATTCTCACAAATAAGGCTGTCTGATCTTTGTCTTTGTTTCACTGATGTTCCACGATACCATACACTTTCTGTAACTTTACCTTAAATTTGTTTATTTAATTGTCTCCTATAATTTCGGAGACCTCTGGTCACAGCTCCAGATGGCCCCTTCTTCTAGGGGGTTATTTGAAGGATTCTCCTCTTTATTCATGATACCATGTGATATCAAATTTTGGGCTCACAGTTCCTTAAAGTAATACTTTTTACTTACAGTTCCAGCTGCCTCAGTATCACAGAACCATGTGTTCCTGCTCTGCTCGTCTCCCAGACTCCCATTTCGGGAGGCAAACATACTTAAAAAATACAGTTCCCAGTGCCTCAGATTACAAGGAGGCTGATTCTACATCACTCCCCCTCTCTTCCATCACATGCTGGAAAAATCTTCTTGCTTCTGTCAAAAAACAAAACAAAACAAACAAACAACAACAAAACCCAGCTTGACTGACACTGGAAATTCATGTTCCAAGAGAGAGACTGAGCAGGAGCTAAAGTTTGTTTTATTCCTTCTGTGATGAGACAAGGTTGTCGTTGGTTTTGAAAACTTGTGGCAGCATGAGAGACCCAGCAGCAAAGCTGCTCCTGCTGGGGGTGGAATCCT